TGTGGCCTTTAACTGAATTTTGTACTATGATGACCTCATTAAAATGAAACTTAGTGAAAAGTGATCTTGTAGAGAATTGCCTTATCTACAACATATCGACATTTCAAAGAGAATCGATGAATATTGAGAGAAATACACTACATTTTCCATAAATACAATGACGTCATAATATGCAATTTTGTATTTTTGACTTCCAAGGCCATTATGATGACGTAAAGATGTACTTAATGGCCAAATGAGATATGAAATCATACCTCCGACTCATACTCTATCTAAATATGAAAAAAAATTGGCAATCCCTATTCATCCCAATGGACTTTTCATAGGCATGTTTTTGCCCATATATGCAATGTATTACAAAAATCGCGCGTACGGACGGTTATCTTGAACGGACGCTCATTCCGTTTTTAATAGTGATAAAGAGCTAAACATGGTATCAAATTTTCCGGAAAAATATGAGGAATATTCGGTCAAAAGCTTTTGCGGAGAAATTATTTTTCGTTCGGCCGTGACGAACGAAAACGTGCAAAAATGCGTGTTTTGCGTGATTTTTTATGAAATGCTTATAATGGCCTGAAACGTATGCAAAAAAAATTTAAGACGATTTTGAGCAATTTAAAATTTTACGCGCGCATTAACGCGCGCGCCTACGCGTACGCGCATTTTTGCGCGCATTTATTGACCTCAAATTGACCCGACGGATATTGATCTTAATCTTGATAAATATGAATGTAAAATTACTTTCCGTTATGAAGATATGATCATAAGTTGATTTTTACAAAATGGCGCCTGGATGACGTCACGATGACTTTGAGTCTTTGAAAAGTCACACAGTTCTAAGTTAGACTAAGATCTATCATCATTGAAAGATTCATAACAATGGCTTTATTCAGTCTTGAGATATCCTGCGAACAAATTCGAGGAAGAATAATAATAAATAAATAATAAAAATCTTGACGAAATCAAAAGGTGATACGTTGACTTCGTTACGTATCACCTAAAAAGAAAGAAAATCTTGACGAAATCAAAAGGTGATACGTTGACTTCGTTACGTATCACCTAATGATTCCTTCAAAATTTGCAATTTCAACTTTCGATCGAAAATTTTAACATGATCCCAACATCTGATTAAAAAACAAAGTACACCGTTTTTATAGCCCATGGTCTCAGCTATAACATAGCCCAATTTGGGAGAAAACAGAGCACACATAAGATAGATAGTGCTCATAGATGAATGCCATGTAGATTCATGATGTGAACGAAATTCACCTTCCATAGACATAACACGCAAATGACGAAAATTCTGACATGTGGCCTTTAATTGAATTTTGTACTATGATGACCTCATTAAAATGAAACTTAGTGAAAGGTGATCTTGTAGAGAATTGCCTTATCTACAACATATCGACATTTCAAAGAGAATCGATGAATATTGAGAGAAATACACTACATTTTTCATAAATACAATGACGTCATAATATGCAATTTTGTATTTTTGACTTCCAAGGCCATTATGATGACGTTAAGATGTACTTAATGGCCAAATGAGATATGAAATCCTACCTACGACTCATACTCTATCTAAATATGAAAAAAAAATTGGCAATCCCTATTCATCCCAATGGACTTTTCATAGGCATGTTTTTGCCCATATATGCAATGTATTACAAAAATCGCGCGTACGGACGGTTATCTTGAACGGACGCTCATTCCGTTTTTAATAGTGATAAAGAGCTTAACATGGTATCAAATTTTCCGGAAAAATATGAGGAATATTCGGTCAAAAGCTTTTGCGGAGAAATTATTTTTCGTTCGGCCGTGACGAACGAAAACGTGCAAAAATGCGTGTTTTGCGTGATTTTTTATGAAATGCTTATAATGGCCTGAAACGTATGCAAAAAAAATTTAGACGATTTTGAGCAATTTAAAATTTTACGCGCGCATTGACGCGCGCGCCTACGCGTACGCGCATTTTTGCGCGCATTTATTGACCTCATATTGATCCGACGGATATTGATCTTAATCTTGATAAATATGAATGTAAAATTACTTTCCGTTATGAAGATATGATCATAAGTTGATTTTTACAAAATGGCGCCTGGATGACGTCACGATGACTTTGAGTCTTTGAAAAGTCACGCAGTTCTAAGTTAGACTAAGATCTATCATCAGTGAAAGATTCATAACAATGGCTTTATTGAGTCTTGAGATATCCTGCGAACAAATTCGAGGAAGAATAATAATAAAAAAAAGAAAGAAAATCTTGACGAAATCAAAAGGTGATACGTTGACTTCGTTACGTATCACCTAATGATTCCTTCAAAATTTGCAATTTCAACTTTCGATCGAAAATTTTAACATGATCCCAACATCTGATTAAAAAACAAAGTACACCGTTTTTATAGCCCATGGTCTCAGCTATAACATAGCCCAATTTGGGAGAAAACAGAGCACACATAAGATAGATAGTGCTCATAGATGAATGCCATGTAGATTCATGATGTGAACGAAATTCACCTTCCATAGACATAACACGCAAATGACGAAAATTCTGACATGTGGCCTTTAATTGAATTTTGTACTATGATGACCTCATTAAAATGAAACTTAGTGAAAGGTGATCTTGTAGAGAATTGCCTTATCTACAACATATCGACATTTCAAAGAGAATCGATGAATATTGAGAGAAATACACTACATTTTTCATAAATACAATGACGTCATAATATGCAATTTTGTATTTTTGACTTCCAAGGCCATTATGATGACGTTAAGATGTACTTAATGGCCAAATGAGATATGAAATCCTACCTACGACTCATACTCTATCTAAATATGAAAAAAAAATTGGCAATCCCTATTCATCCCAATGGACTTTTCATAGGCATGTTTTTGCCCATATATGCAATGTATTACAAAAATCGCGCGTACGGACGGTTATCTTGAACGGACGCTCATTCCGTTTTTAATAGTGATAAAGAGCTTAACATGGTATCAAATTTTCCGGAAAAATATGAGGAATATTCGGTCAAAAGCTTTTGCGGAGAAATTATTTTTCGTTCGGCCGTGACGAACGAAAACGTGCAAAAATGCGTGTTTTGCGTGATTTTTTATGAAATGCTTATAATGGCCTGAAACGTATGCAAAAAAAATTTAAGACGATTTTGAGCAATTTAAAATTTTACGCGCGCATTGACGCGCGCGCCTACGCGTACGCGCATTTTTGCGCGCATTTATTGACCTCATATTGATCCGACGGATATTGATCTTAATCTTGATAAATATGAATGTAAAATTACTTTCCGTTATGAAGATATGATCATAAGTTGATTTTTACAAAATGGCGCCTGGATGACGTCACGATGACTTTGAGTCTTTGAAAAGTCACGCAGTTCTAAGTTAGACTAAGATCTATCATCAGTGAAAGATTCATAACAATGGCTTTATTGAGTCTTGAGATATCCTGCGAACAAATTCGAGGAAGAATAATAATAAAAAAAGAAAGAAATCTTGACGAAATCAAAAGGTGATACGTTGACTTCGTTACGTATCACCTAACTAGACTTTAATTCGTCACTTAGACGAATTAGGTGATACGTATGATAATGGTCTACATAACGAATAATGCATTACACGATATATTATTTTGTAAAATGCTTCTCCAATTCATATGCTTCTCCCATTATGATCTAGTCATATGTCAAGATTAAATTGTGTCTCCTTGATCATCAAGGATCTAGGGAAGATAGACTGAAACAATATATGACCTTTGACCCTGTGCAGTAACCAGTTACACATTTGACTCTAATTTACATCATGAAGAACACCTTTTGACGATTTTTATCTTATTCAAAGAAATGAAAATGTAACTGATAAATGATTATCATCATTATGATAATGATGATCATGATGATCATGATCATGATCATGAGTGCGATCATGACATCTTATTGAAAAAAATGAGGGTTGATTTAGATAGCATATAGTCTCAGCTACAACATACTCAAAAATCAACAAAATCCAAGCCGAAATAACGGCGATATTGCTCGCAAAAGACAGGAATGTAGACTCCAGATTTAAGAAAAAGTCATCTCCCATAGGGATTACACGCAAAAAGTAATGGATTAAGTAAAAATAGGGTAATAATAAAGTAAAAAGGGTTATTTATGACATTATTTGCGAATCTACGTGTTTAAATAATCAAAGGAGATGGTACAGTGAAGGTCAAAGAAAAAAAAGTGAGAAAAAAAAGTGTTGGAGACACCCGGACTCGAACCAGGGATCTCGAGGTTGGAAGTCAAGTGCGTTACCGATATACCAAAACATCTCCCATAGCGATTACACGTAAACGGGAAATGGAATTCAGAAATCCTACTTTGCAAGTGAAATATGAGCATAATTCTGGCATCTAATCGAAAAATAAGGGACACACTTTTGATAGCTCATTGTCTCAGCTACAACATATCCAAAGCTCAGCGAAAACAAAGCTAAAA